TGTGTGTGGTGGGGAATGAGGGTTCCGATGTAGGCCTGGGTCCGGTGATGAGCTGGGTGTAGTTTCATAAGGGCAGCACCCAGCTCAAGCTGCCCACCAACAGGAAGTGGTAGGCAGTTTGGTTTTGCTTCTTGCTTGGGAAGCCCCACCACCACCACTGTGGCCCTCCCAGCAAGTGGCAGAACTACAGCTGCTGCCAAGGATACTAGGGGACCCCCACCTGCCCTGGGCAACACAGATGGGAGTTGGAGGGCCTCCTTCAGGGCCAGGGAGGACACACCCTTGAGGGGCAAGGCGTGTGGAGTCTCCTGGGACAGCACCGTCAGCTCAAGTGGGGGTAGAGGCGATGCTGACTACACGGTGTGAGCCACGGTCAGCAGAGGCCTCCCCTGCTTGGTGCTGGAAAGTTCACAGCCATCAAGTCCACAGCTGCTCCTTCAAGTGGATGCAGAGACGTGGTGATAAAATACTTGGAGGACAGAGTTCCCACTGAAGCTGGACAGACATGCCTCTGACTCTTACGACCAGTCAGTGAGGTGGATGTGTCTTACTTCACTCTCTGGGCCTCAAGTTCTTATCTGAACAATGGAGCTGATGTGGGTGGGCAGGGGATGGTTGTGAGGGTCAGATGAGCTCACATGTGGGAAGCCCCTAGGCTAGTGCCTGGCACCCAGGCAGCGCTCAGCAGGCGCTGAGTGAAGAAGGCTTGGCATCCTTGGCTGGGACTGTGCCCTCTTCTGGGCCTCAGTTTCCCTTCCTGGCTACCGAGGGATCAGGTGAGAGGTTGCCCACATGCTGATGTGGGAAAACATAGCAGTTGAAAGTGCCAGCTTTGGAGCCAATCCCAGCACTAGCTGTGAACTTGGGCAGGTTATTTAGACTCTCTCTGCCTCATTTTCTTCATCTCTAAGGTGGGGGTAATAGTAATACCTACCTCGTAGGGTTGAGAGGATTAGACAAGATAGTCCTTTGAATGGGGCCCGGCGTGTAATAAGTAGTGTAGACGCGTTAGTGCCATTATCATGATTATTGTTTTCATGGTATGGATGTGGAAGCCCAGAGAAGTGGCGTGACTTGCTCAAGGTCACCCAGCTAAAAAGTGGCGCACATTAGGATCAAGGCCAAGCCTGCCGAGCCTCAAGGCCCGTGCTGTTTCCATCGCTCCCCACTGCGCCTCTTAAGTCACATGCGTCGTAAGTGGGTCAGAGGCAGCGTGTACCTGGGGGATGACACAGCAGCAGGGACAGGTATGGATTAATTCCTTGTCTTCTGCTGACACCTTGTGGAGAATGGGCCTGAAGGGAGAGGGAGGTGGGGAAGGAGGGAGGGGGCAGTGGGAGGACCCTGAAACTGGACCCTATGAACCAAGGAAGGGGATGAGGGAGAGGGTTGAACATGATCTAGCCCCTGCCCCTGGGGAGCTCTTGGCCTGTTGATGGGACAGACAGGGACACAGCTGAGACCACCCCAAAGTACTCAATGGGGGCCCTGAGAGCACAGCACACAGACCCTGTCCGAATCCCAGTGCTCAGCTAGGGCAGCAAGGCAGGCTTCCTGGAGGAGTGGCACTTGCAGATGAGACAAGAGGGTGTCTGGCAGGGGGAAGTGTAGCAGGCAGTAGAGATTGGTCTGGAATGGTGGAAGAGACTGAACAGGGGACACTAAAGCTGTAGAGAGGCAGTGCAGGGTAGTGGTCAGAGCGTGGCTGGACCTGAGGGTGTGGGGGCACACGGGGGGCCCAAACCCACCCCACTGTGGCTGTGCCCCTGACCCAGCCCACTACCTACCTACCCATGGCAACTCTGAGGCCCAAGGGGCAGGGATGAGCCAACTCCCAGCAGTCCCTGGGCACGGGAGGAAGGAGGGAGGGAAGGATGGCTCACAGCTGCCAGTCAAGCTCCCAGGGGATGCAGAAACCGCCTGAAGTGACCTGGCAGGGCCAAAGCCTGATGTTGGAGGATTGCACATGTGTACACACGTGTGCCTGCACACATGCGGCCGCCCACCTCTGCAGCCCTGGGGGAGTCCACGCATCAGGAGAAGCAGGTCAGGAGAGCGGCCCAGTGGCCCTCCTGGTGGGGGGTGGAGAGTTCAAGGCAAAGGGGCTGTGTACTCCCCAGAGCCCCTCAGGGACAGCCCCACACTCTCCACAGGAAGGACCCAAGGACACGCTGGCCCGAGGGTGCTCATGCAGACACGGCCTTCTCTCTTCTTGTGGCATCACAGCAGATTGCCTCGGTGTTCCCACACGGGGTCCTCATCACCGAGGCGGTGGGTAGGCCTTGGCAGGGATTGGCAGAGGAGATCCCGTCCAGCCCTGCACCCACGGAAAGACAGCCACAGAGAGGTATTGCTCCACGTCAGCCCAGTTGGCAGCTGCAGCAAAGAGAGCCCAGTACCATCCAGCCAAGTGGGGACTGCAGGAAGATTTGGTGACAGGTGTTGTGCCAAGTTTATCCAACCCACTGAGGGCAGAAAGGAAGGGAAGCAGGACTGGGTTTCCATGTGCCTGGCACCATTCCCGCCTCCTGGGGGGGGGTGTGAAATGGGCTAGTCCAGGCTACAGACTAGGCTCTCCCAGGGCAGTCATGTGGCATTTCAGAGTCCCTGGCATACATTCAGATCGAAAAGAGAGGCAGGAGCCGGGGGTGGGCAGGTTCTGTTAGAACAGGATCGAAGAGCTGGTTCGTGAATGGAGCAGAAGGGGGCCCGGGGAGGGGATGAGGGGAGGAGCAGTTTCCTAAGGGAGCAGAAGGTGGGAGCCAAGGCTTTGGGGGAGGGATGGGGGTGGGCAGGTTCTGTTAGAACAGGATCGAAGAGCTGGTTCGTGAATGGAGCAGAAGGGGGCCCGGGGAGGGCATGAGGGGAGGAGCAGTTTCCTAAGGGAGCAGAAGGTGGGAGCCAAGGCTTTGGGGGAGGGAGAGGAGGAGGGCTCCCTCCCCCCAAGCCAGCTGAGAGGACTGTGCAGATGGAGCTCCTGTTTGTGGCTGGGTGGGAGGCCAGGAAGTTCCCTCCTGATGTCCCTCCTCTCCCTGAGAAGTGGGAGGCTGGGTCGTGCTGAGAGAGAAGGGGAAGGCAAAGAGAGGGGAGAGGCTCTGGGCCTGGAAGGGAGTGCAGGCCATGGTGAGGGTGCTGGGCCCTTGGGGAGCTCCCCCGTCTTCATGCCTGAGAATTTATTTAATCCTCATGACGACCCATAGAAAGGAGAGACCATTCTATTCCCTTCATAGATGAAGAAACTGAGGCATGGAGATGAAGTAACCAGCCAGCAAGTGATGGAGCTGGGGTTTGAACCCAGGCTGTCTGGCTCCTGTCTGAGCCTTCTCTCAGATGGTATCTCTCAGGGAGTGGGGGACTGCAGGGCAGGCTGGGGATGCTGGGAGAGGGGGGAGGTCCGAGGGGGGTGCACCGGGAGGCAGGCTCCCCGGGCTGGCACAGACACATATGCACACCTGCATGCCCGCCTGGACAAGGCTCGTCTCCCCTCTACCCTCCTCCATTCCACAGATAGGAAATGAAGACCCCAGAGTGGTTGCAAGACAGGGGCGGGCGGGGCTGGGAACTTATAAAGGGACAAAAGGAGACTTGGGGGATGATATGTTTGTTACCTCGATCACAGTGATGGTTTCATGAACAGACATATGTCAGAACTCATCAAATTGTACGCTTTAAATATGTGTGGTTTATTGTACATCAAATAAACCTCAATAAAACTGTAGAAAAATAAAGTGAAATAAAATTTTAAAAGAAAGACATGAGAACCCCCTGGATAGGGAGAGTTGGCGCACTGGCACCACTTAGAGCTTTCAAGAGCCAGATCTCCTGCTCCCAGCCCCGGCCCCCACCCTCGTACCTCTCTGCTCCCCCAACACCTACAGGTAGACTCAAGGACACCTGTCCATTTGGAGACAAATTCAGTAGCTATGAGGGGTGCGTCCAGGCAGACCACCCCCGCTTGTGTGGACACTGAAGGGGTTGGTCCAGCTGTCAATGTGGAGGGGAGGGCTGTGTCTTTGTGGCACAGGTGCTCCGTCCTATGTCTGGAGTGGGGGCTGAGACCGCAGCTGTGCTATGGTACCTGAGTGGGACTGTATGGTCATCTGTGGTGGGGAGGCATTAGAAGGCTGTGTCAGCGTGCGCTGTACACGCGGTGGTGTCAGCATGTGGCCATACCTGCAGTCTCTGCCCTCAGTCCCCCATTCCCTGCCTTATTTTTATTTTCTCAACAGCCCATATTGCCTTTGATCATACATAATTCATGTGATCACCATATCATCGTCCATCTCCCCTGGGATGTAAGCCCCTCGAGGGCAGGAATTCTGAAGTGTCTGTTCAGTGCTCTGCCTCCAGGGTTTTGAAGAACACCTGGTAAACAGCAGGTTCTTCATTGATGCTCGTGAATGGGAACACTCCTGTGAACTCAGTGTGTGGCTGTGTCTTCGTGCAACATAAATACATGTGCCTTGCCTGACGCTGTGTGGATGACAGCAGGAGACGTGCAAGGGGCAGGGACAGTGCTGGTTCAGGCCTGACCCCCGAAGCTTTGGGGAAGGCAACAAAGATGCTTGTCGCCCCCTTGTGGTCACCTTAGGCCTGGCATCTGGGCCCCGCTGCAAGTTTCCTGGGCACTGGGGAGGCAGGAGGTGCTCTGCCTCCAGGGTTTTGAAGAACACCTGGTAAACAGCAGGTTCTTCATTGATGCTCGTGAATGGGAACACTCCTGTGAACTCAGTGTGTGGCTGTGTCTTCGTGCAACATAAATACATGTGCCTTGCCTGACGCTGTGTGGATGACAGCAGGAGACGTGCAAGGGGCAGGGACAGTGCTGGTTCAGGCCTGACCCCCGAAGCTTTGGGGAAGGCAACAAAGATGCTTGTCGCCCCCTTGTGGTCACCTTAGGCCTGGCATCTGGGCCCCGCTGCAAGTTTCCTGGGCACTAGGGAGGCAGGAGGTGGACAGAGGAGGGGACCATGGCCTGATGTCATACACACCCCCAACAGGGAGAAGATGAGTGTGGGCTGCCCAGAGCCCGAGCCGCCCCACTCCCTGCCCTGCTGTGGGCCAGGGACTGCCCCTGGGCCGGGTGCTGGTGTGCCCCTTCTCACTGAAGACATGCAGGCACTGACCCTCCGCACACTGGCCGCTAGCGACGTCACCAAGCACTACGAGCTGGTCCGAGAGCTGGGTAAAGGAACCTATGGAAAGGTTGACCTGGTGGCCCACAAGGGCACAGGTAAGTGTCTGCAGGGTGACAGGATTTTAAGAGCGGGGTGGGGGAACATGGTTGGCATTCCAGCTTGCCTCTCTGGTGCTTTCTGGGGAGGCCAGCAGGCTAGCAAGGAGGCTGAGTCAGTGGCCCAGGTGGAGAGGGTGGGGCCTAAAGAGGCCCAGGCAGGCAGGGACTGGGCAGATGGGACAAGGGAAGAATTTGGGGCCAAATGGAGTGCCCAGACTGGAGGGGACTGCTTTGGGGTCATCTGAAGCACCCTTGCAACACCCAAGGGGATGCACCCAGGGACCTCTGGAGCTCTGAGGAGAGAGCAGGGCTGGTGGTTATATATTGGTGATAGCTGACCCCAGGGAGGTGGACAGAGAGCTGTGGGGGGGGGGTCCTCAGGAACAGGGCAGCACACTTAAAGGGTGCTGGGAGATGAACCTGTGAGATCAGTATGGCCATCTCCATTTCTCAGATGAGGACACCAAGACCCATACAGGTTCAGTCACCTAGCCAAGGTCATGCAGGTACAGAGAGTTTGAACTAGGATGAGACCCAGTAGTCAACTCTAGAAACTTCTTGCTTAGCCACTGAGCTTGGTGCCTCCCTTACACCGTGGGCTCACAGTGGTGCCCACCCTGCCAGTTGGGCGGGGGCTGCGTGAGCTCCCACAGCTGCGCCAACTGAGGGCAGCAGGAGGAACACTGGCCATGGGGTCACCTGAGCTTTGCTACCTGCTTGCTATGTGACCCTGGGCAAGGGACTTAACCTCTCTGCCTCAGTTTCCTCTTCTGTAAAATAGGGTAACATTAGTGTCCGCCCCATAGGGTCATTATGAAGCATGAGTTGTGAGTGGGAAGTGCAGAAGGCAGGGCCCGCGATGTGTGAGTGCCCTGTGGACACACGCATGTGCATCACACAACTCGCACAGGTGGGTACAGACGCCTGCCCAAGCACAGAGGTGGGGGCGTGGGCCTCGCAGCGTCTCCTTTCTTCTTATCCATCCAACCATATAACCAACATCTGCTGAGCACCTACTGTGTGCCACACTCTGAAGACACAGCAAGAAACAAGACAGAGGTTCCTGGGCTGGGGGAGACAGACAAGATAAACAAGTGTATAGTGTGGCAGGAGAAAATGGGAGCAGGCAGAAAATGGGCCACCAGGCCCTCCCCAATGCCCACCTCATGGAGGCTACAGATGGGCTGTAGAAGACCCTGGCGGGTCCCGCTTTGCTGCATGGCCTTTGTCAAGTCCCTTCCCCTCTCTGGGTCTGTTTCCCATCTGTAAGATGAGGGCAGTCATGCTGGCTGGGGGCCTCTGGCGGGTCCCGCTTTGCTGCATGGCCTTTGTCAAGTCTCTTCCCCTCTCTGGGTCTGTTTCCCATCTGTAAGATGAGGGCAGTCATGCTGGCTGGGGGCCCCATTGTGCTTTGTCGCTGGGACAGGCCATGCAGACAGTCATGGGTATGTGTCAGGTGCAGGGACGCATGGGGAGGGGGCTTCACCACCATTGCTGTTGCCACTGTCAGGCACGAAAATGGCCCTGAAGTTTGTGAACAAGAGCAAAACCAAGCTGAAGAACTTCCTGCGGGAGGTGAGCGTCACCAACAGCCTCTCCTCCAGCCCCTTCATCATCAAGGTCTTCGACGTGGTCTTTGAGACGGAGGACTGCTACGTCTTCGCCCAGGAGTACGCGCCCGCTGGGGACCTGTTTGACATCATCCCTCCCCAGGTACTTGGGATGGTGGCATAGGGAAGGGAGATGGTCTTTCGGGTCCCCAGAGTGTGAGAGTGGGGAAGAAGTCAGACCATTTAATCAACAAGTATTTATTGAGCACCTACTGTATGTCTGTCACTGTTTGGGGGCTGGGGATGCACAGTGAAGACGACAAAGGTCGTGCCCTGGTTCTAGTGGGGACACTCCACAGTCAGCCAGATAATGACAGATTGAGATAAGCGCTCTGCAGGAACAGCTGGAGTGACAGGGTACAGTTCAACAGCACCCTCCTTGAGCTGCCTAGAGGTGTCAGGTCCACCTGGGAAGGCGGCTTCAGAGGAGGGACTCTGGAGCCTGGAGAGCGGGGGAAGAAGGGGAGGATACCAGGCACTAGGTTTGAATCTGCTCTGCCAAGCCCACAGACCCAAGCATTCAGAGCCCCTGTCCCCCGACACCAGGAGCAAGGGAGCTTGCGGGCCAGACCCCACACCTCCCTGAGTCCCGCAACACCGCTAGTTGCTCCCGGCCCTTCCCACATCATCCCGCAGTCCCACCCCAGGCCCTGACCTCCTGGCCACCCCATTCTGCCCCCTCCCCACCCTGGGCACAGAAGGGGACTGAAGTGTTGGGCAGAGAAGGAGCTTAAGGCCCCTGGGCACTGGCTGGGATGAAGACCATGAGCTGAGAGCAGCTGTGTCCTGCCCCTTTCCTGGGAACTGGAGGGGAGGCGCCAAGCCCCTGGAAAATGTGGCAAACGTCTGGATGTCACATAAGTGTGTGTGTGCAGGCACAGGCCCCAAGAATCTAGTGACTCCCTCACGCCCGCGTTCCACTGGTGAGGACACAGCCCAGAAGGGAGGAAACCTGCCTCTGGCCACGCAGCCACCAAAATGCAGAGCACTGGTAGACCTCCCCTCTCCCCACAACCCCCCCCCCCCCACACAAGGGATTGTCCTGACAACTCCTGGGGACAAAAGGGCTCCCAGGGCAGGGGTCTCAGCTGCCCCTGCATCCTTAGCACAGGGCCCAACTCCCCTGCCAGGTGCACCTTCCCCAGGCCCAGGGGCTCCTCCCAGTCCTTGCTGTGCCAGCCCAGACTCAGTGGCCTGGGCTTCAGGCAGATGGCCAGGTAATTTGCACCAGGAATTTCTCCTGGGTTTCTCTTGGTGTCAGACTTGTCAACCTCCAAGACGGGCTGACCCAGTCTCCCAAGTTGCTGGTCTGGAGTACGCAGGGGTAGAAGCTGCCTCTGTAGGTGTGAGAATGGGGGCTGTGGAAGTGTGTGAATAGGTGTGTGCTGTATAGAGTGCACACGTGAGTGTAGCCATGTGCCCCAGTGACTGTGTATCTAGACGCCACAGTGACTCCGCCCGCCATCCACGCAGCCCAGGCTTCTCTCCAGGCAGCTGTACAAGGGCTGCGGGCCTGCATGTCACACACCCCTCAGGGAACCAGGCGGGGAGGCACCTGCAGGTTGATACAGGCCTCCAGGCAGCAAAACCGAGAGGAGAGGAACCCAGCCTGGCCCAGCATCCCCTCATAACCCCCCACCCCCTCATGGAGGTCTGGGACCCTGCAATAACCTTGACAAGGGCGAGGCTACTCCCTCTGCCTGGCAGTGCCCATCCACCATCCTGGGCCACCCCTGCCAGGCTCCCTCCTGGAATCTGGGGCATTTGAGGAGCTCCTTCATGGGCCAGGCTGCCTAGGGGGGTACCAATCACCTTCCGGCCTGGAGCCCCTGCCTCTTCAGCCACCCCTCACTCCCACTGCACAAAAGGGCTATAGGTCTCCCTGCCCTGCCCAGGTCCAGTTTACAAACAGCATGTGGTCGCCCCAGGGCCTGGCCCCACTCTCCTCGTGTGCCCACTCCTCTCAAGACCCCACCTCTCCACTGGGCACGGGGCCCTCCACACGCCAGGTAAGTAGCCAACCCCTCCTCCCACCACGGGCCATGTCTCCAAGATGGCCCCCATCACTGCCCCCAGCCCACCTGGAGCCCAGCCGGGCCCACCTATCCCAGCCTCAACTTCTCTTGCCTTAGGCCTCTCGACATCCTGATCTCCTGCAATAACAAGGAAGCAAGATTCCACAGTAGTCGTCCCTCACCTTAGTTCTCTCTCTCTCTCTCTCTCTCTCTCTCAAGATCCTGTCTGGGAGATTTCTCCCTTGTCGTCGAGATTCCACAGTAGTCGTCCCTCACCTTAGTTCTCTCTCTCTCTCTCTCTCTCTCTCTCTCTCTCAAGATCCTGTCTGGGAGATTTCTCCCTTGTCGTCGTAGTAGGATGGTAGAGTTGGGAAGGGACTGTAGTTATGTAGCCCGGTCCCCCTCGTTTTCAGAGGCATTGAGGGGCAGCGACCAACCTGACACCAAAGCAGGACTGGAATCAGGTCAAGGCTCTGCTGCCGCTGCCACCACCTCTGCTGGTCGGGTTGGGACCCTTTGCCCCTTAGGAGAGGTGTTGGTCACAGATGTTTACCTCAGTTAATGTCACTGTTGAAGAAACAAAAAATAATAGCAAAAAATAACACGTAGTCATGAAGTCTTAGAAGACAGAAAAACTCACATACAAGAATATCTCTCCCCTAGCGATTCTTCTGTGAAGGTACTGTGTGTGTGTGTGTGTGTATGTGTGCGTGTGTGCATGTGTGTCTGTCCCATTACAGGCAGGCTGGGTCATGCTGACCTCTGTCCCAGCCCCCGTATCCCCTACACTGCCCCGTCCTTCGGTGCTTCCCAGAGGCCCCTCTGAGCTGGCCTGTGGGGTGTGGGGGGCCCCCGAGGCGGGAGGTAGGGCCACAGGTCAGCTAGAGGGTCTCCCACCAGGCCCACCAAGCAGGGCCCTGAAGCTGCCCCATGCTCCCTGAACCCACGCTGTGACTGGTGGGAAAGTCCTGGTGGTGGGATCAGCTCGGGGCCTGGGGCAGGGGCGTAGGTGGAATCCCAGCCCCAGAACCTCAGATCCTCCTGTCTTGCCAGCCTCCACCCCATATGTTTGTAAATACTCTGGCATCCTTTGGCCCTGAGAAGGTTTTTAAATGTGTTATTTACTTCTTTAATCATGACAATTGCTATAAAATAAAATTAGAAAAATTACCACTGGGTGGCTGTCTTGTCTCAGTTTTGGGGTGGGGAGGGCGGTGGGAGGGGGCACACAGGGGCTCTGGGAACTGAAAACTTGATTTTTTTTTTTTACATGTTTATATAGAAAATTATTTCCTCAACATACAAGTGAAGGAAAATATCACAAATTGAATTTAAAGTCAATTGATAAGGAACAAATTTAACACACAGAGATTGACATCCTTAATGCACAAAGAACTCTTAAAAATGAATTAGAAAAATCTTAACAGAAATTAGGTGAAGGACATGAGCAGATAAGTCTCTATAAGAACTAAGACGCTCTTGCGAGCGGGATGGGCAGCGGCCCATGGCCCCATGCCAGGTTTCTAGGTGTGCTCCGTTGCTTCCCTGGATGCAGGCCGGGAAAAACTTGACCTTGATGCCTCTACAGTGAGATCTGCAGAGTCTGAGGGCAGCTGCTCCAGGCCTCCTGCAACCTCTCAGGCTTCGAGTAGGTCCAAGCCAGGGCTCGAGGGTGAAGGGAACAAGGAACCGGGTTCTGGAGGAAGTGACAGGGAGTTGTCCCTGGCCTGGAGTCCAGCTGTGGCTTGGAGCCCTTTGGACTAAGCAGGAAGTCAATACAAAGCCCAGAGGAACAGAGTAGGCCGATTCATCCAGTCACCACTCAGCAAATATTTACCGAGCACCCTCTGCATACCAGGCTCCCTGCCAGAGACAGGATACAGCAGTGCGCAGGACAGATAGGGCCCTGCCCTTGGACAAGAATGGAGAGAGACATTACCCGAGTAGAAGGTGTGCAACTGGGCAGCTTATCAAGTGCAGAGTCATAGAAGGCTCCCTGAAGACAGGATTCCAGTCTCTGGGCATCAGCTGTAGGAGGCGCGAGAGGAAGAGGACTGGCTGGCAGGTGCAGACTCGCGTGACAGGCAAAATGGAAGTTCTGAAGCAGGGGGGCTTGGGGCGGGCCAGAGGGGGTTTCAGGATTCACCATTCATTCAAACAAATATTTATTGATTACCCACTTGTGCCAGCAGAGCAGTTGTGTTGGCTCTGCCTTCCAGTAGACGTATAGCCAGACCAGCCATGCCTGCCACGTACTGGCCTGCCTCCATGCACCTCCCTCCCCTGGCTTACGGCAAGAGCCCCCCGCTGGTCTCCCAACCCCCTCAGGCTCTTCTTGGCACAGTGGCCAGTGATTCTTTTCATAGGTAAGATCTGTCACTCTGTTCAGAACCCTACAATAGCTTCCTGTTCCACCCAGAATCAAAGCTGAAGAGTGGCCTCCAAGAGGCCTCATGGTCTGGCCCCATTTTCCTCCAACCTCACCCCTACTCCTCTCCCCTGTACTGCCTGCCACCACACTGGCCTCTCAGCCAAGCATGCACCACCTCGGGGCCTTTGCCTGAGCCTCAGACCCCAGATCTCCCCAGGGCTCCCTCCCACCCTCACCTTCAGGTCCCTGCTCAAATGTCAAAGGATCAGCATAAACTTCCCGAGCATGCTATATAGAGCAGACGCCCCCTCTCCCTGCTCTACCGTACACCGAGCACTGATCACCACTTGCAATACCATATGTCTGTCCTGCGTCTCACCCCGTTGGAACGTAAGTTCCGTAAGCGCAGAGACAATGTTGGGCAGACTGCTACTCCCCACCACCCCTCACCTAGTACAGGGCCTGGCACTGGGCACTCCATAAGAATTTGTCAAATGGATGAATGAACACCCAGTGCTATCTTAAGGGCCGAGGATACAGCAATGAACAAGACAACAATCCCTATCCCATCCCGAGACTTACTTTCTATAGAGGAAAACAGACATTGAATGGGTTGCATAATTACTTCTGAAATATGGGCGGGGGGGGCAGAAAAAGAGAGAGAAGGAAAAATAACCACCCTGACCAAATCAGAGGGGGGACGACTCCTACCCAAGAATTTGATGGAGGATGTGTTATAGAAAAACGTCCGCCACTTCTCTGCAATGATAAGGATGGATGCCTGAGGGCATTGGCCCTTTACTTAACAGAATCCTTTACTGGACTGTTAAGGGATGGAGGAAATCTACCAATGCAAACAGCATCACTGGCTCTGCCCCCAGCTTGATGTACAAATGTCCCCTTAAGACTCCCAATGTGTGGAGAATGCCACGACTTACCACGAGGCGGCCTTGGCTTTCTGCTGCTGTGGCTTCCGTCTCCGCCACTCACTCGACATTTCTGTTGGGTTTTTTCTGGGCCGCTGGCTGGTATGGGGATCCAAACTCTTGATCTTGGTGTTACCAACACCATGCTCTAACCAAGTGAGCTAACCGGCCAGCCCAATGGCATCACTGCTGAACTCGACTGGGCAGTCTCATGCATCCTTTGGGTGATAAAGCCATTTTCCTGCCATGCCAATGGCTTGGCCAGAAGGGTTTCCAATCTCCCCCCACTACTGCATCAGAATCAGACCTACTGCTGAAGCCCCACAGGTCCTTTCGTTTAACCTCGGTCACCTACCCTTGATCATGGCGAGTTTCTTCTTGAAGGCGCGTAGTGTCCTTTCCTGCCCATAGTCTCAGTCTAGGCTAACTCAGTCCATTGAAAAGGTTCCAGTAGTGCTGACCTTCAGAAAGAAAGGGGATTGTAGTCTTGCTTTTTTTTTTTTTTTTTTTTTTTTACAAATAGGTAAAGAGTTTATCTTGATTCATAGGAGTCGGCATCTTCACCTGGTACATGGGACATCAAAAATATATAGGCAAACCCCATGGCCACCCAGGAGTCCCCACTCCTCTGCTTTTTCCCCACAGCCTTTATTAGAAGCACAGCAAACAGAAGATTTCACTGAGGGTGCAAAGACCCTTTCCATTGTCTGGAGTCCCCACCTGTCCTTCCCTCCCTCAGCTACCATGTGGCCCTGCCTATCCCAGCAGGCACACTCTACTAAACCACCTTTGTGCCCTTCGTACCTTTTCTCATGTAGCCTTGCGACAACCTGGTGAGGATGGCATTATCATCCCCACTTCACAGGTGAGAAGACTGAGGCTCAGAGAGGTCAAGGGACCTGTATACAGCACTCAGCTGGTACCTAACAGGCATGTGATTGAACCCTCAGCCTTCCTGACCCCAAGTGTATGTTCCGAACCAGCAGGTGTAGACTGCTCGGGGGTGGATGCAGTGTCCCGTGACTGCCAGGCTCCTGTGGGCTGCTGGGCTGCTTCTTTGCCTGCACCCTCTGCCTACACTCCAGAAGCACTCAGCCTGAGCCAATAACCATGGCAGGGCTTATGATGGCTCTGACAACACAGGAGCCCCCTGAGGGGCCAGCCTGTGGGTGTTCGCAGAATCCAGAGCCTACTCCTCTCCTCTGGAAGGGCTCCTCTGCACCAGGACCATGGCTCCCGTGGCCCCAGAGCCCTGACTCCCAACTGTCAGCACCAGTGGTCATATTCACGGGCTAAGCCCTGGCACTTCCCAGGTCTGCCAGAGGCCGAGATTGCCTTCCTAAGAAACACTTCACCTGTCCCTGAGCCCAGGGCCTTGTCCTGCTGCCAGTGTCCTCGTAGTTCAGATTCCTGAAACTATGGAGGGGTTGGCACACTGGTCCTTCCAGCTGAGTTCTGTGAGAAAGGTGATGCCTTTTCCATTAAATACTAGACCCTCAAGTCCTTTGCCCATTAAAGGATTAGAAGGATTAGAAGAACTCCAAAAAATTCTGGTGGTCTCTGATCCAACCCAGGTACTCCAGCTGTCTCCTGTGATAGAGCAGTTTGCTTTCTATCCCAGGCAAAGGGCCAGGTGGGGTCAAACCTTGGAGACAAGGGCATGGAGAGTTTCAGAGGCTGGGAAGTCTAAAGTCCAG